TAGTAGAGAGAGAGAGAGAGAGAGAGAGAGAGAGGTACCTCTTGATCATAATGAGCAAGGTCTCAGCCTTAACCACAGAGGATTGATGCATGTTTTTTATCAGAGCCCAAGCTATATCAAACCTCTTATGTTTACCCAGTATCCATATCATCAAATTGTAAACTCCACCACTATGTCTATACTCTGGTTTCAAACCCACCCATCTAAACACCAAGAACGCCAATTTCCATTCATTCTTAACCTCTAGAAGCAAACTATAAACCAGACTATCATTGGGTGTAACCCCAGATTCATCAAGAGCATACATGGCTGCATCTTCAGAAGGGAAGTTCTTAACTTCGGCCAAAATCCTCAATTACACACTCAACTGTATCATGCAAAAGCTCAATTGGGGCATCTCTATCTTCTTCAAAATCACTGGTTTCATAGACAAAAGGGTCAGGGATGGCCTGATAATGGGCTTTTGAGATTGGGTGTAGCCATGGATAGAGAAATGTGCTGGAATAGGAAGACTGTGAATAGGGTTTCGGTGGTAACGTTGGGGAAAAGCTGTGAGAGAAAGGGAATAGATTTTTGAGAATCGGAAAAAGTTGGGCTGTTTTCTTTCTTGCTAAATTTAGTGCCATCCCCCATTCCAACCAGCCTAGAAAGAGAAAAAGAAAGAGAGAGTCAGTTAGTTTCCATTAGAGCTGCATACCAGCAAAAGAGACCAAAGTTTTGAGTCTTTTGACTTTTGAGTTGGGAAAGAAATATGCATCTAAAAGGGAAAGAGAAAATTTACTACTTTATTCACAATTACCTTTATCCAACAGATTTTAAATCCGATGGATGTGAGTGTATTATTGACTGGATTTCAAGTTCAAACTAAAAAAAATTATCAAATTTTATGTAACATCCAATTTGATATTTAATAGCTAATACCAATTATGACATCCTCGTGACAAAAAAAAGAAAAGAAAGAAACACTCCCCAACTAAAAATGTGGTCCCTTGCTATATAATCTCCCCAATTTCAACTTCTTAGAATCGTTCCCCCAACACTTTTTTTATCCCATCCTAAACTCCAACCAAAATTTTTTTTTGCATTTACCTCATTCAAGTAGTCAACTAGATTTAAAACACATATCTGCCTTTTTTTTCTTGTTGGGTTTATGTGCCCTTTGAAGGCCTTATGTGTGTATTGAAGTGCTTTTATTATAGTGAAACATAAAAGGCCTTATGTGTGTATTGAAGTGCTTTTATTATAGTGAAACATAAATTCAGTAGGAAGTATGGTCCCTCGAAGA